CAACGGGCAGCGGGGGTTAATGCCAATAAACGTCTATCAATATTCGGTGGAAGCTTAACCAGTTCGGTGTAGCGTAAAAATGCCGAAACTGTGATTAAATGTTTCCGGGCCATTTAATCCGGAGTATTTGTAAAGTAATTAGGCGCACCCGGGACACCCGGGGGCAACTTACTGCCGCTTTTCACCGCTCTTCTATCAGGTTTTTTTTTTTTTTATGGATGAAGGGCGCGAGGGTAGAAATTTCCAGCGGTTGATTCGGTAACAATTGCATTTCGTTATCAAAACCACCCAGCATAATGGATTTACGTTTGAAATAAGCAAATAAAATACGCCACCATAAAAATGGAGAGAACCACTTTGTTTCATTAGATTTTTATAAAAAAACTCGCCAAACTCGGATGCAAATAGATTGTATCTCTAGTTGTACATTTTCTTTTTCTAAGAATTTTTCCAACTTAACTACGTTGGTCATCTCATTATAATAATCTGCTACAAGAAACACTATTGTACAATATTGGCACATTTTTTATTCGGAGAAAAGTCATTATTATATTATTACAATATAGTAGTTGAATTAATGTATGGGTTTTTTTTTCAGTTTACATATTATTATTTATCAAGTATTAGAAAAGATCAACAAGTTGACGTGGCACCCGCATAAAAATATATTGAAAATTGAACTCCAATTCTACTTTAAAAAGTCATTTTTCGATTCTTTTGTAGTTTTCGTTTAAAATAGCTGAATAAATGTTATTATTAAGTTCCGGTTTTGACCTTTTTTTTTGATAAATCGAAATAAAAAAAATAGGCTTACTAATACCTACTACTCCTACTAGTAAAACATTTTATTTTCAAATGCAAAAAACTTTAATATTATGGGTAAGCATTATAGATTCCCATATTATAACTATTACATAGTTTAAATAATTGAATATATCATATTATAAATAACTGTCAATTAATCAATATATTTTAGTGAACACCGTACGCGTAATTACATTTTTTTTTAATAAAAATATAAATAAATTGCTTTCCATTAAGAAACATAATTTTCTTTATTGTATATTATTTTCTTTTTTTTTTTTTTTTTATTGAAAGAAAAGAGGCTTCAACATCTGGGGTTATTAGCCTTGAATACATTTACATAGTGTGGGTTACATTAATGATTACATATTTAAAAGGTTACAGAGTCTTAAATTATGAATACAAATACATATTGATTAAAGATTATGTGCAATGTTAATTTGTGTAAGGAAATTTAAGATTTTTGTGGTGTTGTCTTCATGGAGAGCTTCTTCTAAGTTGTTGGGTATTGATAAGGTATTTCTGGTGTTTTGGAGGTTTGGGCAGTCTAGGATGATGTGTTGAATGGTTAGGTCTTCTTGGCATTGATTACATATGGGTGGTGGATCTTTTCTAATTAAAAAAGAATGAGTCAGGGAAGTATGTCCAATTCTTACTCTGGCTAGAGTGACTTCTTGTCGTCTGTTTAAATTATGGAGATGGTGCCACTTTTGGGTGCATTTTTTTATTTTTTTTAATTTGTTGGAAGGCGGAACAGAATCCCAGTAACTTTGCCATGTCATATTTATTTTGTTTCGAATGGAAATATTTATGTCATTAGCCGGTATGTCAGTGATTGTTGGATGTAAGATGGTTTTAACTGCTTTGTCTGCTGACTTATCGGCCATCTCGTTACCGGCAATGCCGGTGTGAGAAGGTACCCACATAAATTCTATATTTTTTTTTGTAGAATATAGTTCAGTTTGGATGTTCTGGGTTATTTCATTTGTCGAGAAGGGGTTTAGGAGAGCTAGAAGAGCACTAAATGAGTCACTTATTATTAAAATATTGTTATATGAAGGTGTCAGGTTTGTTGATTTGATTGCTTCTAATATGGCGTAGTTTTCTGCTGTGAAAATGCTGCTCTCCGGAGGAAGCTTATGCAGGATTTCGGTTTCTTCTTTGATGATTGCGAATCCAGTTCCATGTTGAGATTTAGATGCGTCGGTATAAATTTGTGAAAAAATGGAGTATTTACTCTGGATAATTTCTTTGAAGTGAGACGTGATAATTGTCGAATTTGTTTCATGCTTATTATATTTGGTTAATTCGGTATTTATGTGGGTTTTCCAAAGCCAAGGTGAAAATTTTGGGAAAGTAATTTTATTTTTAACGGATGTGTGGATTTTAAACTTTGTGCACAAACGGGAGAAGGTGACGTGTATGGGTGGTATTTGTTTCCCAGATATGTTGGTTAGGATTTTATTTTGGTTTTGGAAAATATTGTTGTGTCCTATGTGATAAGGAGTGCTTTTCCTTTTTATGCCGTAGATGAGTGTGTCTTTTTCTCTTTGGAGTTTGAGAGGTAGTTCTCCAGCGTAGCATAAAATACTGTCGATAGGGCTGGTTCTGTATGCTCCTATTGAAATGCGAATACCTTCGTTATGTAGCGGGTCTAATATTTTGAGTAGATTTTCTTTGGCTGAATTATAAATAATTGATCCGTAATTTATTCGTGATAGTATTAGTGATTTGTAAATATTTAGAAGGCTTTTTGTGTCAGCACCCCAAGTGTGATTTGAAAGTATTTTCATTATGTTCATTTTCATTTTGCAAGAGCTTTTAAGTTCCTTTAGGTGTTGGGTCCATTTTAATTCACTATCAAAGATCATTCCTAATACGCGTAAGGATTTGCAAAAGGGTATTTCAGAATTATTAAGGAATAATTGTAGGTTCTCTGTCGTACGAGTGTGGAAACAAATACATTTACTTTTCCCTGGAGAGAATTTGAAACCGGTCTTATTTGACCAATTTTGGAGAATATTAAGTGCTTGTTGTAGTATTTCCATCGTGGTTTTAATATTTTGTCCACTGCAATAAATGTGGCAATCGTCGGCAAAAAGAAGGTGTTTTGTAGGTTTGGGAATTTCTTTAAATATATTGTTAATAGCTAGCAGGAACATTGTTACACTGATCACTGAACCTTGGGGAAGGCCATTTTCAGTTAGGTAGGTATTTGATAATTCATTGTGAGCTTTAACTTGGATTGTACGATTTTTTAAGAAATTTTTGAAGAATATGAACATTTTACCATTTATGCCACACTCTTGAATAATTTGAAGGGCTCTGTTTCGCCATACCATATCGTATGCTTTTTCTAGGTCTAAGGCTATTAATATTAGATGTTGCTTTTGATTTTTTGCGTTACAGATATCATCGTGTAAGGAAGAGAGGGTGTCGAGAGTTGAATGATTTCTTCGAAATCCACATTGATCAATCGTTAGTATATTCGATGTCTCCAAGTGCCAAATGAAGCGCTTGTTAACTATTTTTTCTAATGTTTTGCCTAGTGTATTGATGAGTGAAATAGGCCTATAGTTGGAGGTGTCGAATTTGTTCTTATTTGGTTTTGGGATGGGTATAACAATTGCGTTGCGCCATTGGTCTGGATATATGCCTTTATCCCAAATTATATTGTAAATTTGGAGAAGTATTTCGTGTCCTTGCTTTGGTAGATTTTGAATAAAGGAATATGGTATATCGTCTGGACCAGGGCTTTTGCTTTTGCATCCAGATAATGCATTATGTAGTTCAGTTATATTGAAGGGTTGGTTAATTGTGTTTTCTTGGTGGTAAAAATTAAGTTCAAGGTCCTTTGTAATGTTTTCTTCTATCGTGTGTTTGTAATTCAGGAATTCGTGTTCGTAGTTTGAATTACAGTTATTTTTGATGAAGTGCTGAGCGAAGGCTTCGGTTATATCTGTAGGGGATGTGAGTGAATTACCATTATGGTTAAGATTGAATGGTAAGGGCTGGTGGGTTATTCCTTTTATGGATTTAATTTTGTTCCACATATCGGTAGAGGAGGTGTTTGAGTTAATTGAATTTGTATATTTTTTCCAGGATTCTGCTTTACTTTTTTTTGTTATAAATTTAGCTTGTGCACGGAATTTCTTTAGTGTTATATGGTCATCAATGGATTTGGTTTTTTTAAATTTGTTTAAGGATTTTTTATAGGCCCCAATTGCCATACTGCATTCTTTGTTCCACCATGGAACTGTTTTCTTTTTCTTTTGGATATTTATTTTACCGATAGTGAGATTAGCGGCATCTAAAATTATGTTAGAGAAATTGTTAATGATTGAATTTATATCGGTTTGGTTAATTTCGCTTCTTAGATTGACTGGGTGGTCACTAAGTGTTTGATCTATAATGTCTCGATAGAGTTCCCAATTTGGATTTTTCAAATTCCAACGGACAATTGGGGATATAGGGGTTGTTTGATCTATGATTTTTATGGAAATGGGCCAATGATCACTGCTGCTATATTCGTTGAGTACGTTCCATTTGGTTTTTGGTGCAAATGTACTATTTGTTATTGTAAGATCAATAGCTGAAAGGGAATTATGGGTTGCGTTGTGGCGAGTGGGTTCTCCAGTATTTAATAATATTAACTGTTCATTTTCTAGAAATTTTTCCATAATTTTGCCTCTGTGATCCGTGAAATGAGATCCCCAAATTTGATTACGACTGTTGAAGTCACCAAGAAAAATAAATGGTTTGGGTAATTGTTGGATGATGTCATTGAGATCATTAAGTGTGAAAGTGGTGCTGTCCGGTAGGTAGATGTTACAGATGCATAATGGAGTTTTGAGGCGTATGGAGACGGCTATGACTTCAAGTGAGGATTGAATATGAATTTCGGTGCTTTCAATGAGATTATTTACAAAGATAGCTACTCCGCCGCTTGCACGGAGGTGTGTTTGGCGGTTTTGGAAGAATCCGTTATATCCTTTTATGGGAAAAGTGGTGTTAAGTTTTAAATTAGTTTCTTGGAAGCATAGGGCGATTGGTTTGATGAGAGTTTTTGCTCTGTAGATATCGGTATTATGTTTATGTAGGCCGTTTATATTCCATTGAATAATAGAGTCCATGGTTAAGAAGTTAGAAGATTTAGAAATTGCTTGTGTGGTTTTGATATGTTTGTATAGGCATATTTAGTTTTGGATAGAACTTTGTTGAAGAGGTTGAGATTGGAAAAGTAGATTTCTTAGCTTTGTTATACGTGATTTGAGTGACTTGTCTTTTATTTTAGGATGAATATGTTCAATTATGTCCATTAAGGTAGGGATGCTTGTGTTTATATCTTCGATAAGTGTGTGGATGTTTATTGATTTATTGTTGAAATTGTCCAGAATGTATTTAAATTGGATGTATGTGATTGGTAAGTGCTCATTCACGGTGTAGTATTCGATGATTGGATTTAGTTTTTCGTCCAAATTTATATCGAGACTGTTTGAAGAATTTGAGCGAGATTGTATTTTTGGTTTCTTGATGGTTTTTTCATTTTTTTTAACTAAGGTAGATGGTAGTAAAGCATTAGGGGAATCTGGAGGTTTAGATGATGAAGAATCAGACATAAGTCTTTTTTGTGTTTCAATTGGTGAGTGGAAAAGTGCTTCATCGAAATGGTTTTGAGTTAGAGGGAAAAATTTGGTTTCTTCTAAATCTTCGGTCAAGTCTGATTTGGTTTGGTCAAGGATATCAAGGGTTGGACTTGTCGGAGAGCGGATATTTTCAATTAATTCGGTGTGATCTATAGCGTATTCATCGGGTTTGTTTGGGCTAGATGATGAGTTTTTTCTTTGTGTGGCATTTATATTTTTGCAATTACTTGAGGTATGCCCGCTAGCTTTGCATATGAAACAAGTAACTATATCATCGGTGAAAAAAATTCTGAATTGAGATTCGTTTGTTGTAATAACCAATGAGTTGGGGAGTTTAGGAATGTCTTCGTGTTTGATGTATAATTGTCTTCGGAAGCTCATTATGTGCTCGAAACCTTCAATGTTAATACCCGCTTTGAGGTGGCTGATTTGAGATATGGGAAAAATGTCTAATCCGTTTAGTGCGTTTGTGATTGCTTGGTTGGGTATAGATGGGCATACATTTGATATAATGTATCTTTTTGCCGGGTTTAGCAATCTGCGTATAGGTATAGTTTGATCATTGATATTGATTGATTGAGTTTTTTGAAATAAATTGTCGAGTATTTGTTTGCTGGACAGAAAGATGCAAAAACGATTATTCGAGATTCTAGAGATAAACGTTATATTTTTAGGAGAAACAATTTTTCCTATTGCAAGAACATAATCTTTTTGTGGTATTCCATCAATAGTGTTAAAGACCAAGGCTTGTTCACGGCTGGGGTTTTTTTCCATGGCGACAGCAGACGCGAAGTTTATATTGTTGTTGTCCGTCTTATTCGATGAAGATATTATAGGTAGGTCATTAGTGGATATATTATTATTTGTGTGTTTAGCGATAGTGTCTGCGGCGCGGTTGTTATCGCTGGACGGTGTCGTTGTGGCGGAGAGTAGAAGGGGGTTCTTGATTGCGATGCGTGAGGTATGATTGCTCGTTAGGGTGGAGGGAACACCGATATTACGGTCGGTGCCTTGCACTACTATGTTTTTGGTTGATTGTTGAATCGACGCGGTTTTTTGTGGTGGTTTATTTATTTTGGTTTTAAGTGTAGAAATGGTTGGATTTGAGATGGGTGTGTGTGAACGATTGGTTGTGGAGTTTTTGGGCGTAGTGCCCGTAGGGTTTTTATTCATTTCGTGAATATATGCGGTTGGGTGTTATATTAATTAAAACATATTACCTTTCCGAATGTCGACGTGTTTTCTGTGCTATCGAAAAGCTATAAAACGAACAGTGCGATAAGAACACGTGTTGCACGGTCGGCTGTTGAACACGAACTGATTATTTTCTTTATTTTATAACTATAATACAAATTATAGATTGGTTGAATTTAATAATAAATAGGTACAATTTAAAAATAAATGTGTTATTCAGTTTTTTATATAGCGTAAATTATTACCGAAACAATATATTATAATATTTATAAACCTACGCAAAAGGTTAACCACGTTGGATTTTCTGATTATTTTTCTGTTTAAATTATTTTTAATATTTATCCATTTAAATAATACCTTTTTTAAAAATAATTTTTTTGTTATTATCAAATCATTTTGTATGCATCTTACCACTTGAATAAGCAAAATAACCCCTGGCCAAAGTGCCACAAACATGGCCTCTTCATCAAGCCAAATCATGCACGTATTTATCTCATACCACTGAAGCCTATATATTGGATAGCAAATTTTTAGGTCATGACTAAACATTGTTTTTTTAATAATAAATAATAATTTATTTTAGTATTTAATATTCACTACAGAAATATTGGTTTATATTATGTGGATATTTAATTTATTAAACAGTTAAGCCGAATATTAAATTTATTTAATTCAGCTCGTAAATAACTTTCAACAAACTAAACACCATTTGCTTTATTCGTGTTAGGACTCTAGAGTATAGAATGTGCCTATATCATATTGTAATGTGTTAAATGTACTTTGGTATTTTGGAAGAAGAAAATTATATTTTACACTTTAAAACACTTGGAAATTAAATGTTATAATAGGTACAAACAATATTATACCAAGTTTTCGTAGTTTATAAAGATGAATTATAAATAGAGCATCTTTAACGATGGTTTTAAATTAAACAACTACAATATTACATCAACTAATTATGATTTGTGTTTCAATGGTCCATACAATACATATATAGACTTATTAATTGTATTGTATTGATGAGTTAATTTACTATTAACTTTCTGCGGCATTGTAGTGCATGAAAATTCAGCTTCGAAATGTTGAGTGCACAAACATTTAGTACATATATATCTATGAAATTTGAGCGAACGATAATACAGAGCATATGGCATTTGAGGGCGAGACAAGGCAGCGCACATCATATATTTCATTAAAATAATATTATACCAACTTATTTAAATATTTAATTCTGATTTAATTAAAATACAGTCCCGTAATAAAATATAACAAGTAATTGTTAAATTATAATTATAATTATTATTAAACCAACTATATTAACTATAAGTTGTATTGTAAAGTAAACCATTCATTTAAATTAAAATTGTGGGCTATACCTTGGTAAGTGTTTATTGAGTGTTCAAGCAGAATAATTGACGAGCCCAGAAATTACTGCGCCCAATTATTAACGGACGACGGTACACCCATCATAATCATTATGACAGATTAAACACAATTATAACGAATTCAATTATTCCAAGATTGTAATTTCTACGTCATTAACACGGAACGAAAATATTTGTGACAACGCGCGTTTGATTTATAGGATTTTAATTTTGATGAAAAAGATTAAAGTTAGAAATCAATTTGGTGTAGATTGAGTTAAAATAGATAATAAATAAAATTGTGTATTTAGTACCTACCTATATATAATATATTTATTTTAATAACCAATTCTATCGATATTTCAGTAACCAAGTGATTTCTAAGCAAAAGTGCTTCTGTTTAGTTTATGGAAACTGATGAGCTGGGAATACATTTCTTGAGATAGGTATAGGTGCCTGATCATAAAAATTCTTTAAATAACGGAAATATAGCACGGCCAACGATGGAGCAGGGGTCTTGTGCATTAGTATTTTCTTTGAGAAATCGAGTGGAAACTGGATAAAACTATAAAAGCAACACTGATTTGGCAAGGATTCCAAATTTTCAAATCGATTATTTTTGTTCATAAAATATAAATACAAACTGTAAATATGATAATATTTGGTATGAACAAATAATGAAATAATAATTTTATTGTTATTGTTTTCAGTTGTATAGCCGATTAAAAATTAGCTTTAATTGTTTAGTTATTTTAACTACTATAAGTAATCATCGATATTCTGCTGTATTCAAACATAAAATTCGGAGTAAGTATTTTTATACCACACTTCCATTTTAATAGGAAATGTATCATATTAATATCAGTCAACATGATAACATAAATTTGAAAAAAGAAAATGTGTTTACACTTTAAACAAATATTAATTTACAATTTATAAAATGTGTAGGTACTCGTATAGTCGTGTATTTTAGTATAGAAACTGAAAATAATAATAATGAAAAAAATATCGTTAAATTATGAAATCGTTTGGAATTATTGTTATAACGTGGTAAATACATTATACTGTAAGTACTGTGCATGTTTTACTTATTAAAATTACAGTTAAAAAAATTACAAATATTATCTGCCTCATCGGCGGTTGGTGTTAACAATTCAAAATGCTATAATAATTTTGGTGGGTAAAAATAATTAAAAAAAAGACCAAAATGACAATAGACGATAATGTTAAAGATATTTCTTAGTTCTTACTTAAAATTGCTTGTAAACATTTCGTGTAGGTTAACATTTACTTTTACGATGTCAATTATTTTGATTAAGGTCTTCGACCGCCGCATTAAAGAACCAGTGTCAGTTAATGTTTTCTTTTATCTGACTATCTGCTAATATCTTTACATTTAGTGGCGTAGACCGTCGTGGACGGATGTTTCTCGGCAAAGTAAATGCGTGTCGAACGGTCATCAAAACTCCGCAGTAAGCTTCCTGAGGATTTTGTTTTTTAATTCGCTTTAGAAACATTTAATAATAACTTAAATTATTTTTTTTTTTGAAAGGACAAAATAGCCATCATTTCAAATATTGAATGCCCTCAGCATGTACATAATAAAAAACTAACATTGGCCGATCATTTCAAACTTCGCTCCTTAGTGTATACTGGAAAATGTTGGCAATAATATTGTATTATCATATCAGCCGTAGTCGGCCGAGTTTTCGTCCCTATTTAAATCAATTCAATGGATATTTTTTGTATAAAAGAAATGAAAAAAAAATAACAATATATTGACGATTTTCAAAAAAACAAGTTGAGTAAAAAAAATATCTGGTTGACAGTATTTTGGATGTAGTAATATATGGCTATTGTAACAAATAGAAATATATGAAATTTTTACATTTAGATACTTAAATAATACATAACAAAGACATACTATTATAGTAAGTAATATTTTCTATCCAAAAGTTCGAATGTAAATGATCTGTCTTATTTCAGTTATGGTGAATTCAAGAATGGCATTATTAAATTATTATCATCAACATTCTTAATATCTGAAATTTTTATCAGACAATAATTTAGTACCCACCTACCTATAATATAATACCATAGTATACTACCTATATACACTATTACTCTGATAAAAATTATTATTTTTTCTAATTAAAATGTAAAATAATAAAATACTATTTAAAACGTCGTATATAGATTTATATGTACACAATGTTAATATAACTCTCAAGTCCAATCATTGAACAAATGGGAACAAAAATAAAAAAGGTATATATGGTGGTACACAAAAGAATTCGAAGACAACGAAAAATACTATCGGGGGTTGGGAGATAATCATTGTAGTTGATGAAAAGGAAATATGTAAGCTGTATGAGAAAATTCCTACCGTGTAAACCTTTGGAGTGTAATCGAAGGAATGGCAATAATTGCAGTTTGTTTTGCCCGGGTGGTTTCATTTGAAATTACTAAACCTAGCTGTGAGTGTTTGAGATCAGATCTTCTGTTTCCACGAGTGTTTCATAAGTTGCAACTTTATGAGAAGATATTGTGGTCGATATACCTCGGGCGAGTACACGAACAATTTGATTCAGAGATCCAAAATTGGAATGATCAATATAATATGTTAAAAATTCTTACATAAAAAACTGTTGTTGAGGATTTGTTTTACTATTTGTGTTATTATAGATTCTAAGAATGGCGATTATTGTATTGATTTTGAAATGATGTGGGTTTTAATTTTTAAAATGATATTGTTGATACTGATTTTAAGTAATTTTCTTTAAAACTATGATTTTTTTTCAGAAAATGTTTATTTTCTACTTTTTTTTGACAACAATTATTTTAACATAATTTATTACTAAAAGATGAATAATTTACAAATATCAATGTAAATGAATAAGAAAATATCCTTAGTAATATTGGCTTAATGATTTCAGATTTGTCATTGAATCAAATTAATGTATAGTAGGTATATCAGATTACAGTGACCTACCCGATGACAAAGTATACTCGACACCTACAGAGTGACTTCCTTTGTGTTCTTTTAAATATATTTAACACATTTCTAAATTTGAATTAATTTTTTGATAAAAGTTTATTTTAAATAACTTAAATTTAGTTTGGTTTGCAAAGCATATATTATTACTCACCAGAAAATATATAATCTAAACTATTTTTCCCATAATATTATAGAATATTGTTTACCCATTACTCGGATTTCGAATATTGCTTCTGAAAATTCTCAGAGCTGCTAATATTTGCCGCGGTTGGACGATACTCATTTGTGTACGTTGTAATTTGAAACCATATTTTCTACAGCCCCACCAAAGAGGGGACCAGAGCGAAAATAACAAAACGATAGTCGGTAATCTTCTTAAAAGTTTAATTTCAAAAAACCCACTTTACTGGAAGGGAGGGTAGGTGGGGTATCTGCTTTCTGGTGCCATTACGTGTTTGCACTGCTAAAACGGTCACACGTCGTCGAAGTTTTGAAAGCGTTATGACAGTGGGCCATTAGCGACAACGGCGGCTGTATCTGAGGCTCTTACATGGGGCTGAAGGGATAGCGCGCAGGTCATTTTTTTCCACTCCGATCCTCCTCGTCTATGAAGTCGT